GGAAAGGACCAACAATGCTTTTCTGGAGACAAAGCGGGGGCCTTGCGCTGCCTGCTGCCTCTGCTGTGGCCGAGGGCAGTTTCAGTGTGGAAGAAGAGCCCCCAAGCCCGGTCCGGCAGTGGGGAAAGTCAGGAAGGCCTGGGAAGGTTTTCGCCCCTTCCCAGGCCACGGGGCAGCCAGAGCTGGCGCAGGCTGCCCCTGCAGCTGCTGCCTCCCTCCCCGGGTGCCTGCGTTGTCCTCGCGGGGCATCCGAAAGCTGGGTACTTGCAGCCTCTCACGCCTTAACAGACGTAAAGCGAAGCGCTGCTTTACACCAGCCCTGAAGCCACGCAGGCGGCCCAGCGTGGTGAGAAAACACGCGGGCGAAGCACACGGAGAAGTTTCCCTCTCCCCACCCAGCGGGATGGCTTTACCCGACAGCGCTCGCACGGCTTGCGGGCTGGCAGCGCCTCCGCTACCCGAAAAGGCCTGGTTTTCCAGCAAAAGGAGACGCCAGGCCCGCCTGCTTGCATCCTGGCGTTGGTGGCCGTTGAGCTTTCTGGGTGTTTGCTCACCTGCGTGTGTGGCCTGGAGCACAGCCCCGGGGCAGCTTTAGGACCGGCCCGGGAAGCGTTCGCTCTCGCCTTCCTCCGCAGCAGTTAACGCACAGGAAATAGTCTCATTAATTCCTGCTTTTTACCCTGCATGTTTCACCCAAGTGGCTTAGAGGAGGGCTCCCACGCTGGCGCTTGCGTTCGTCTTGCGACGGCTCGAGGACCGGCTCCAGCCCCCCTCCAGCACGCCCTCTCAGTTGCTCACTCGGTGCTGCCTCGCAGCAGAAAGTCACATTAAAATTCTCACAGTGAAGCCCTCATGTCGCTCTTTGAAGCCAGCTCTTACAGCGGCGGCGAGTTTATAAGACGACTTCAGGCGTTTTGTGCACGCCAAAAATTTAAAGGCTAAATTATTCAAAACAGCACAGTTAGTGCTCTTCTAACTCCAGGCACCACGTTGCTATCAGCACCTCTTCTCTCTAAACTAATGCTCACTACATCCGATGTTTTCCGGCCTGAAGGGACGTAACTTCTTTGCCCAACGCTCTGTGTTTAGTATTCATGCCGTTGAACAGCCCCTCTGGCACGTTGCTCAGCTCTCTGGCTTAAAAGACACAACCGTACAATGTTTTTTTGGAAAGAGGTGGTCAGGCAAATAATTCGAGTTAGGAAACCATTGATTTTTGTACACGTAGCTGTCACAAGGAAGCGCAAAAACATCAACCAAAGTGCAGAACTAGAAAGCACTTTGCAAAGAGTTCCTAGGAAGTTTGCACAGAGCAGTTTTCCAGACAAATTCAAAATCTGCATTAGTCATTCACGTCAAGCTCTAACGTGGCCCAAAGTGTTGCAACTGAAGAGGAAAGAAAGTTGACAAATGTCTCCAACCGCAAACTTACGCACTTGATTTTAACATAACAGTCTTCAGTGCTGTAACAGCAAGGCTGTCGCCGGCGAGCCTCACGAGCAGCCCGGCTAGGCAAGTCCCACTCTGCAGCTGCATTTCGGAATATTTTATATTTAGAAGTTCCCCAGAAAACGCCTAGCTAACGCTGATCATCTCACTTTACCTTTCAAAAGAAACGCCCAAGGAAAGCTCATCTTCCCCCTTTTGGCGCTGAGCGAAAGGAAAACACCCCCCCAACCCGGAGGGCCAAACCCCATGCGCTTAGCGAGGTCCCGCTGGTTCCTGGCTGTCCGCGAGTCATCCTGCACGGGGCTGCGCCGGCACGCTCACGCGGCTCCACCTCACGTGGGGCCACGCGGGGAAGGAAGTTGTCCTGCTTGCCGAGACCACGCGAGTCCGCGCCGGAGGCAGGACTAAGCTTGGAGCAGGGATTTCCAGGCGGCAGCAGCCCAGCTCGGGGAGCCTCCCGTTTCCTATCTTCCTGCGCATGGCAAGGCATGAAGAGGCAGGTTTGGCCCGTCTTTGGCCCCAGTTTAAGCAAAGCACAATCTTCCTCCTGATGAACCCAATTTTACAACATGTAACACATTACTAGCCCATATAAGAATTAACAGTATTTCGATTAAAAAAATGAAACTGTGTTTTTAATCAAAATTACGTGCATTTTACTCCTCACCCAGGATCTCAAAATCCTCAAGAATATCACACGCTACTTGAACAAGTGAGCTGACGGTGTAGCCTGCAAGTCTAGATCTCACACTTGATATCAATTCTGCAAAAGCTTGGGCATCTTGTAAACCTCCCTGCTTTGTGCTGGGGAAAGGGAAAAAAAACCCTAGCAGAACAACAGAAAGGAGTTTTTACTTGTAAGATTTCGGAGGTGCAAGAAGGAATAAAAATGGGGGTTAAGTGGAGTTCAGGGAATCTAATCTTTAATTAGGCTTTCAAATAAATGCCGACCTCACACATACTTTGCAGCTAAAACTCAGCATTCCTGAAGGGAGCTTTGCTGCCTAATCCAGCAACAAAAAATCCCCCTCCTCCTTCCCTCTGCTCCCATTATATAGTTAAGTTCTTTCTATCAAATCATTGAGCAAATAGGAATTATTCCACAGGTTCCCGTTAAAGCAAAGCCTTGCTTTCCAAGACCAACAACGTAACGAGCATCGTGCTAAGTATCTGGCATATGGTCTCCAGCAATAAAAAAAACGCATTGCTGGTCACAGCCTTGAATATTTATTATGAGAGGTGAAGAACGGACATCACTGGTTTCTGTACCTTTCTGCAGATTAGGAAGCTTATCCTTAAGTTTAAGGGACCAACCTGCAAACACACATGCTTCAAAGAAATAAACAAAAGCTTAAGAGACTGACAGGAGTGGGATACTGATGGTCTGCTCAACAGCTTAGCATTTGTTCTAAAGGATTCAAGATTTTGATCAAGAGCAAAGTCTTTATGGTTTTTATTGTACTTACGCTGCACTGCCCATATTTAAGTTTCTAAGTTTAAGTTGCTTCAATTATTATTATTTTTTTATTTAGTTTACATTATACTGCACATTTTTAAAAAACAGCTGCAAAGCCGAAGCATTCTGGGATCCCTTCAGAGGCGAGAGAGCTCGCCAAACCACAGCACCAACCACACATTCACATGCAAACAGTTCAAGCTCAGCTCCCTGTTACTTCCAGGCCTTTTTTAAGTCTAGGCCTGTTTCTGCCCATCTTCTGAGGTTTTATGAGAATTTTGGTGAACACAGAGCAAAAAGGGCTAATAAGAGGGCAACGTTCCTCTACACACCCCAGCTGCTTGTTAAAAGCGACGTGTAGCCCTGTACTTCACTCAGCTTTGCCTGCCCCGCCAATAGCTTTTCACACTCTCTTCTTAAGACCAGTATTTGACGGATATGTTGAGATTACTCTGTTTGGGGTGGGTGACACCAAAGTCTTTCTGTATGCTGGGTTAGCACACAATCTGTAGGGGTATATCTTCAAGTCCTTCCCTAAATTACAAGTCAACTAAGTCTCCTGAGCCAATCCTTGCCTCAAAAAATTTGCTCAGAGGCCCTCAAGAGTGGAATATTAAAGTATATGAAGAAGAAAACACACCTCACTTTCTTCCATTCAAATATGAAACTAAAAGTCATTAGGAAAAAAATTAACCTTAATTTTCAAATTACGGATTAACAGCAAAAACGCACGCTTGCTTTAAATCGGATCACAGACAAAATGCAGCACAATGAGAATGGTTTCACTGAGAAAGAGTATGAAGCCCTATCTTCAAGCCACAGGAAAAAACTGAATTAAAGATCTGATACTGCAGAGAAAAGAAAAAAAAAAAACTCTCAAACGTTGGCTGGACGATTATTTGGTAAGAAAAGGTCAACGCACACACGTTCTCGTGCACAATCACTCTCCTTATTCAGTGTGCATGCAGAGAGTCGTTCCAGGTTGAGTTTCACTGCCCGTCATTTCCAGGACCCACTTGTTGGCCTATTTGCTTGTGGTTAGAAGTCAGCCAGTTCTGCACAGCGTTCTGCAAGCTAGAGATTTTTACACACATACAAGATGTGCACACTTTCTCGCTTGTATGCTTCTTCCCCTCTTTCCCCCCAGCTAACGTTATTTTCCCCTTGTTTTTGCGAGTATTTCATAAGAATCCAATTGCTTTACTACCCTTCTCTAAAGCCCTGTCAAAACCGTACTTCTGTAAAAATCTTCCCATGAAGTCGATTGTGGTAAGGCTGCTGGTGCACTGGGAGGCACACTATTGCACACCCCATTACCTAGTGCTGTCCCTTCCCTTTCCCATAGCCCTGGCCTCTCTGAACATTTGTACGCTTGGACAGCGTGTTCTGCCTGCACTCCATCTGCAGCACTGAGATCCTGGTTCATAATCCTCCTATGCCCACAAGAACGACAACCTCTGCATCCAGTTTGGGTAGGAAATTCATCCTGGTCTCCCATAAAGAGTAAATAGGCAAGGACGAAGAGTAACAGGCAAGAACAAAGCAAAGGTAACAGTTTGTGTAAGAGCAGGAATAACGAGCCGTGTCTTCAGGGCCAGCGAGGTTTCAGCAGCTCCTTAATGAAAATCAGGAGAGCTTCTCGTAGCCTTGAATGGAGAGGTCAGTAACCAGTGGCACACACGCAGACCTTGAATAGTACCCGAGCAGTACTCGGTGTGCAACAACTTGAGGGAGAGAAGCATCTGCCTGCAGCTCCTGCCGAGCTGAGGACTAGAAGCGTCTGGGCTCCCCGACCAACACTGAAATAAGAAGCCATCAATGGTATCTTAAGTCTTCCAGTAGTATATTTGACAGCTGCTTAGAGCACTAGACCGCAATACCTTTTCCCTGGGAACTCTCCAGGGTGAACTAGGAGCAGGGTATCTCCTCCCATCTCAAGCAAGAAAGTTTGCTGCTTTCTTGTTCTTCATTGTGGCATTTTAGATGCTCACATGTCTTCACAGATATTGAAGATGCTATCTTACAACTGGCAAAAGATGTAGTGCATACCGTATCTTAATAAGACACAAGCAAACAGAATTCTGAGGACTATGAAGAACGTTCAGTCAAGCTAGTCCATTTATTTAGCCTGCATCAGTTAGGTTTTAATTAAGAGAAAAACCACTGAGCAACATATAAAATAAATACTGGAAATAACATAAAGTTCCCTTCAGATGGATAAAGTTTACTGGGGACAAAGGTTAGAAAAGATAAAATGTCTCCTTGTTGGAAGAACGTGCCTCAAGTTTCTTAGAAAATTTTCCTAGCTCAACAAATTCCCTTGAAAGAAACAATTTCCATACAGCACTACATTTAGAAACCGAATCATATGCCGAAGGGAAAAAGGTAAGGCAGGAAAGTTTTATATTTACATACAGGACAAGCAATACAAAGCACCAGCGGGACGTTCACATTTACATTTAAATTTTATACCATTAGTGTGGGTGTGCTACTAAACTGGACGGCTCTCAGTTTTTTAACAAGGTTCTATTACTGCGGGCTCTAGTTGGAGCGCTGAACTGTAGACACTTTAGTTCTATTCATCAGTATGGAATCTGTCCTACGGTATTGGTTTCGACAGATACCATTTTAATATTGCACATTTCCTTTCAAGACAAGCATTTATATGAACGGACACAGTTTTGCTCTTAGCCTCTCCATTCTTGTTGGGAGAAGACCCACCATTTCCTTACTGAGTTCTAGTTCAGTTTCAACGGCACGGACAGCATCCGGATACTTCTCACAATAGTCTACCAGAAATGTGTAATATTCCAATGATGTCTGCATATTTTCCAGTTGTTTTTTGCCATCCGAAGTAATAAGCTTACCATATAGTCGGGCAATATGAAATTTGGCCACCATGGCAGGACGAAGAACATCCTCCTCGAGCTCTTCGGGAAATACCTTATCTGGGTTCCTCAAAGAATCCAAGAAGAGTTCATAATACTTTATCGCTAACTGCGCTAGAGAATTGATTTTTTTTATTGTGTGGGAGTCTAGCTCTTCTAACCTGTTACCAATAGCTACCTTTAAATCCATCATCTCATAATAGGTGTCTGCTAGTTCAAACTGAAGCTGCCTACTAATCAACAGATAGTACTGTGGATTCAAGTCTGCATATATAGGCTCCAGCATGTCTATTCTACGCTTATGCATTTTGCAGCGTCGCTCATAGTCTTCTTCAAAGAAAGCCAGTACCTTAAACAGAGCACTGTGATCCTGAACAATTTCAATATGGTCAGTAACATAACCATCAACCTGAAAGAACTCTTTTGCTTCCTGAACATAGTTCTGACCCACTAGGAAGATTTCTCTGGCTTCTTGAAAATCTAAAGGATATACACTGCTCACTTTCTCTTCCATGGCTAAGACAGAGTCACATATATCACTCGTCCCAAAAAGCACAGCTTTTTTTCTGCCCTTCTCCTTTTCATCCTCCTCTTTTTTCCTTTGGGCTTTAAGTTCCAACTGCCTGTCGGGATCCAGCTCTCCTATGTTATCCTGAAATGATAAAACATATTAATTAAAAATGCATGTGGATTACAGAGAAAGACTTGCGCTGAAGCTTTTTCAATTACGGACTGCCTTTCAAACACAAACTGATCAGCGACAAGAGAGAAAAGACGACATGTTGGCATATTAAACCTTGTATTCACTAAAGGTCATGTAAATTATATTCTCACTTCTGTAAAAATGTAAGATTTAAACACAGCAATTTAAGTCTCTCTACCCTGTGCGACAACATAGCCAAAGCAATAAATGTAAAGCCCAAAGCATTTCAGCACATGCTGAGTTTCAAGCACACAGCATGAATGAAAATACCAGCACACGAAACTGCTGAACACTGAGAGGACGTTCTTACTACCAGTTCAATAAAAAGTGATTTGCCAAATCAAGCCACAAGAAAATACAGTAAAGAAGAGGGCGAGCTGCGAAATCTCTATACAAACAGTGCATTGATCACGCTACAGAACTGATGTCCTATCGATGCTTATTTCTAAGTGCCGCATTGAAGTCAAAACATACTAAGAAACACCTGCTAGATTCAAGTATCTGTTGTCTTATTGATTGGGAAACAGCTTATCAATTGCTACCAATTATAAGTGATTCCCACTACAAACATCAAAATAGACTAAATTTGTTTTTAAACAATAGCAGTTATGGAATAAGTTTCCAGTTACCTCAAGTAATTTCCGAGCACTTTGCAAAAGATTCAGGCAATACTTAATCCAGCATCTTGCAATTTCAGCTTTCCTCTGTCGAAGGTCCTGCTGGTCTTGCTCTGTTTCATCTAGTAAACGGACATCAATTTACTAGGTAACAAGCTTAAGACATAAAAAGCTTAAGACAACCTGAGCATTCTAGTAACACCCTCAAATGTTACGTGCAAAGAATACATGCTACTTATATTTATGAGGACTCGTCTTTCTGCACTGTTAGACAGGAACATGCTCTCCTTGTTCATGTAATAATTCTGTGAATTGTCATTCTGGTAGAAACCCATGGGGATTAGCATGGATTTGTCATGTATGTATTCCTCAAAAAGTAGACCATACGTTAGTATGTTTAAAAAGAACTTTGATCCTGGAGGCGTTCTACAGGAAAAGATTTGAATTTCTCTCTGTAATAGGAGAAAGGAACAAGGACGATCTGTTTTCCGAGATTCAGCTGCTTGTAATTTCTGTTACAGTGTAGTTGCTCCCCAGGATGATCAGGGTATTTGTCTCACCCAAGACTTGCTACCAGAAAAGGGAATAAAACAAGGGGAAACTGCCTGTGGTTTATCTACCTCATCATAACATAATACCTATTAGTCTGTAACTTCTGCATTTTTCTCTTTGCAGTCTCCCCATTATATATCACAGTCATAACTAGCACTGCTGATATCTCGAGATTACGTTTCCAGAAACCAAACGGACCAAAGAGAACTTCCCAATCTCTAGGCAGGAGGTGATGAGTGAGTTAGCTGAACAACGAGGGGAGGCTAGCACTCCACGGTCGCCAAACGAAAAGCAAGCTTCAGACTCAGATTCACTAGATTCAATATCTTTCATTACTGCCAATCAAGTTATTCAGAATAACTGTTGCTAATCTAAAAAGGGGCCTTTGCTAAATATCTCTGTGTTTTACACACAGGTTCACACGCCAGAACGAATCCCATTCATGTGCTTGAGAGTGGCTAATGTCGACTGCGTATTAGTCTTTTGGAAACTTAGAACTTTCTGCATAGCGATCATGTCGCCAGCCCAGCTCTCTGTATCGTGAAAAGGAAGCGAAACAGGAGAAACGTGCGCTCCCATTGACACAAGCATCGCTACTTCCTCCCACGCTAAATGGGAGCACAGATAAAGTTAACTGACTTGCCCCAAAACCACAAAAGAAATCTATAAAGTTAAATTTAAGGTAGGTCTTTTATCCACCATTCCCAGTCTTGAACCTGAATTACACACCATAACTCCCTGTATGTTTCTACATGTCTAATGAAAATAACCTCATTTTTTGGCTTAATAAACGTTAATAAACTCAGACAAATGTGCTGTCAGGTAGCTATGGAAGCCTATAAACATGTGTTTCCCTGAAAGCAAAAAAGAGACTTGTGGACATCACCCTCAAATCCTTTAAGTAGTAGGAAAAAGACAGCTGCATGGAGTCCTTTACTTTTGAGCTCAAAGAAATACTAGAAGCAGTGAAATTAATGTACCGTCACTGAACTTCAATTAAATAAAACTAGTTGTGTCCGTTCAGGTTATATTTGAACCTAAAATAACAGCATCAATAGATTAAGCAGCTTGTATTCTAAACAGCTCAAACCCTTAAAAGTTAACCAATTTAGTCACTGTTTAAAGCTAGTTATGAGCTCTCACTGGGGCTAGTCTGAACACTTGACCACAGTTAAAGGTCTATTCACTTGAAGCTTTCAGTTGTCCAAGACCTGGAACATGAAAGGCTTTGCTGCAGAAAAGCAAAGCCTAAACCTACAACAGATTATTTATTTGGAGTGCAGACACTCATTACACAGCCCCAGGCCCTTAAAACTGTGGTCTTTCTTTAGAAGTTTCTTTTATTGATCTCGATGCTGAGCAGCACAGTTGTTCCTTTACATCAATACCCATAACAAGAAGGATGGTAACTATAATTTCAAAAATAGCCATTAATGAGGCAGCAGTATCCAGCAACAAAAGACAGTACAGGTACCTTCCGAGTTTGAGGTTTTTAAGAGCTGCAGTTTCCCTTCCCCTTTTAAAACTATTCCCAGGAAGTATCTGTTTCGTTTCATTGAATCATTGCCCTTCAATCATTTAGGAGCAAAGGTTAAGCTGCGTTTAAAGCACATATGCAAGGACAAGTGGGTGAACACAGACATTCCCACTCTTGAAAAGCATATTGCTATAAATTTCCAGTTTCTAACGTATGTCACTTTACGGTAAAGACAAACCTTTTCTTACTCTCTCTGGTAAGCTTTCCGGAGCATCAGCAACAAGCACTTGACTTTTTCCTCAAACGGTTTACACAGAGCCAATCTTAAGCCGCAGTTAACGGCAGCTCTTAAAAGACGTTGTTCTGTCTTATTGTTACTGGAAAGGATTTTAGAAAATTAATATTGAAATCAGCTTTAGATACCTTGTTAGACTTCACTTTTAACATACATATTAGTGATGTTTAATTCACAACATTTAATTGAAAACTTCTATATAAGCTTACTGTCTTCAGCAGATGGAACTTGTCCAGCTTGGCTAAAGATGACATTGGCTGCTGCTAAACAGTGTCGGGACTCCATAAAGCATTGCTGAGAGGAACAGAAATGACAGTATTTATCACTGGCACTACGCAGCCCAAGCGCTACTGTTCTCAGCTAGGCTAAAGCCCTCATCTTGGATAGTTAAGATATGCAAACACAAGGGAAAATATAGGATTGAGAGGCTCAGGAGCATATTCCCCTGGACGCTGGGGAAAAACAAAAAAAAGATTTTTCTCATCTACTACTCAATATAGTGTTTTCTAACCAACCATTTCTCTGTCTACCACAGCCACAATAGCAACCCCTGCTTGTAACATTAGACAGATACGTTGTAAACATTTCCATGCCGTTCTGATCTAGGCTACTGTCACTTCCTGACATTGTGTGGTAAAGATTGTATCATGGGGTGTTAGTCAGAACAAACTGGACATACAAGTCAACCTCATGGGTCAGATTTAGATTCCTTTACTCTCATTTGACAGTGCCTTATTTAATGATTTGGTCCCACCAATGCACCAAAAAGAGACAGAAATTACAAATTACTGTTGAAATGAACATTAACTCACTTAGGTCCTGGAGAAGGCCCTTAAGCATCAGAAAACAGCATCTGAATAATCTGGAGTATAAAAGTTCCTGAATAAAACTGAAGCATTTCCTCATGCAGTGGGCTATTCAAAGTCAATACAAATGTGTGGAGGCAAACAGTTACCATTTTATAACTACTTTTAATGTTCACATAGGCTCAAACACTGTGCTTAAGCACATGCTAAAATATCAAAGGACAACAATTTATAGGAAACATACAATGTGCAGTATGTCGTGCCTAAGTTTTTTTTTTTTTAAACTTTGTACTGTAGGAGAACAATATAATCACAATTATAGCAAATGGCTTAAAGTGATGTCAGGACAACCATTTCAAGCTTACTAAAACGCGCTTACAAGCATCGTGTCACATATCACTACTGAAACGTTCATTCACTACAGAGCTTTTCTTATATCTCCTCCCCTGCTCATTTTCCCTGCTGTCATCACACCAACACAGGAAAGCATAACCACTACATCCACTTCAGAAAAAACTAACAGATGTTTCATGTCAGAAGACAATTTGTGGTTTTACAGGAGGACATTTTTAATTCAACAGAGAGCCTTGTCTCGAAGAGCTGTTTCAACAACCATCTTTCCTGATAGCAAAAAAAATTCAGTGTGTTACCTTAGAGAGATAATACTGTGACAAGGTAGCAGCATTGAGTGCCCATTCTACTGGGTAGTAGCCACTATACTCGAGCTGTCGTTTAAGAGTGGTATGGCAATACTGAGCAGCCTTCTCAATCATTCCCAGGTGTTGGTAGACTTGCGCCAGATAATACAAAGTGTGGGTATAGGCTTTTTCAAATCTGGAAAAACAAAAATCTCTTTAGTTTTTTTTATTTTTTAAATATTCCCTCAACAGCGTACCTAGGGGTTTTTTGGACTGACATACACCCACCTTTTTGATCTTTCTTGGTCTGTGAGTTTTTCTTCTTCTGCCATGAAATGTTCACTGGGATCCAAGGGAGGATTTCCATCCTACAAGAGAGTACGGAGTATATTCAGTAAGGTACATTGCTTTTATTTTGTGACATAGTGCTCCCTCTTCTGGCTGCAGACCATTTACCGTTTCTCAGTCCTAAATTCTTCAAAATTTCATGCAATACACCTACAACCATCTGAATGTCACACCTCTAGAGCAATTTCAAAAACCCAAAGGCACATGGAATTATAAGGTTTTTCAGCTTGTAGAAGACTCCTGCTTATGCACTTTTAAAGTAATGCATCCTACTTGCAAAAAGAGATACTCACTTGAGATTCTACAGGACTATAATCAGGTGTCTTCAGCTTGGACAATAACACGACTGGTTTGCATCACGTTTTTTTAAAGCGCCAATTTAACATGAAGCATGCCTTCAAGCGTGAAATATCTGTTTACTCAGTTGCACTAAGCAGCAGCAAGAAAACATCCTACAGGAAGTACTGCCAAAAACATTAAGTGCAGAAGAGTGTTCAGCAGATCTGCTGTAAAGGCTGCTCTTGCCAATGTGAAATGCCATTGTTAAATGACTCCCTTTATTCACAGGCTGGTGAGATCATTGTCTCATCCATGTATCTGATTAAATGTGTAATGTCTTTAGAGGAGGAAACTGCTGTCTCTTGATGTAAGGTATGATCTATATGCAAGCTGTTAATGATACAAACTATTTCATTTAGAAGGGCTTTTTTGTTTTTTAAACCAAGAGCATCCTGATACAGACATGTTTCTATTGATATACACCCAATACTTTATTTTCCTCATACAAGAACTGAAAGTAAGACAGAGCTGCACATGTAGGAAGTAACTCTGATTTTAAACTTACTTTTGATCACTCTATGACAATAGTTTCTGAGATAAACACAGAATATCAATAGCTGTACATCTTCCAGTAAAGCTCTGTTCAACCTTGCCTTAAAACAAACTACCAATAAATAAGAGTTATAGTCAGCACAATCAGAGAGTCCAGTAGATTAACACTGCTTATAGCAAAGTTTTATTTGTCTGTGCTTATCTAATTTCCTTTGTAATTGTGCTTAACCTCAGACACCAATTCCAAAACACCTCAGCTAAAGGTGTCTTTCTAAGGTGGCTTTTTTGCCTTGCAGAGTGCATCCTGAAGGACGTCTAACGTGCCTGTTAGACTAACATGTCCTATGCCTTAGCAACACAGCCCAGCTGAGCACGCTACTTTGCTTGCTACTTTAAGTAAGCAGGCTTATTGCTGGATCCTTAAGAAAAAAACTTCAGCTAATAATAGCTTCTATACGAATATTTAATTCTCTTATTTCTGTCTGTTGACCTCAAAAACCTTCCAAAAGACAACTGGAATCATTATCCGCATGTAAAAAGTTAGCAAACCTGGGCACTGATTGAACTGTTCAAAACATCTCAGAAGCTTAAGGGAACACAAAGAAACCAGATCTCTAGGTGCACAGTATGTGCCCTTTACGGTACTATGCTCTTTCCAGTGCAAGAGCGTCAACACACAAAAAAGAAAAAAAAAAATCCAGCTCCCAAAGTTCTACAAATCTGAAGAACTCTCAATTAAGGTAAGATTTATATAAAACATGATTAGCATATTCAAGTTGCTCTTTACGCTTTAGGTAAGAACAGGAATACAAGTTGAACGCGAGTCTTTCTACTGGCTATTTCTTTCCTAGACCAAGAGACAATCAGGCATCAAATGAAAAGCAGCTGAGAGAAATACTTCTCATAAGATGAGGAGGACATAAGTGGGGACAGAAGCAGGGGCACAGAATGCGTTCACTTGAAAGGGAAGTAAAGATGTTCTCTTATTTGTTCTGAAAAAAAGTCCTGAGGGGCATGCATTTGTTTTAATGGAAATATTTTGTTCGTATTACACTGGCTCTGAAATAAATAGTGATAAATTAATGAGATAGCGGGTAACCTAATATACCAGAGAGGTGTAGATTTTTACACCATCTTTTAATCTTTGGGTTTTTTTTGTTTGCGCCTCATTAGTTTTCAAGACTTCATAATCTCCCATCTTGCCTTCTGTAGGGATGCAAAGGCTTACAATATATCTTCCCAAACCTTCCAACATAATCTGCAGTATACTCTGACAAGAGTAGAGCTGATATTCCTGACATTAATAAAGAAAAACAACTGAAATGAGAGACTGTTCGCAAGACCTTTTCTCCTTTTTATCTACAGCTCTGTCCTCTGATGTCAAGCCTTATGCCTTTAACCATCCTGAGGAAGAGCTCTGCAACTCCCCTCTTCCAAGGAGACTTTCATGAGCCCAAACTCCTGCTCATAAGAGTTCAGCACTCGCAAATTTTCACTGTACTATATTAAACAATCAAACAGCTTTCCTAACACCAAGATGCCATTACAGTAATTATTTCCAGAAAGGAATTAGAGATGCGAACTCAAAGCTTTCAGGAGCAGAAAGCAAAAGGATCTTTTAATTCTTTCCAAAATAAATTCTTCTTGCAAAGTTCCTTGGTTTTGCTCTAGTTGCTTTAGGAATTAAAAAAAGAAGAAAAACAAGAAGAAAGCAAGCCACCCAACTTGCAAGCTAGCTAGAGCAAGTAAGTAAACAATTAAAGTTGCCACCAGGAAATCACCTCAATCGTTAACAGTTTACCAGAGGTTCACAGACAGGAACGCTTCCTGATAGCCTAAAATGGAGAACGTTAAGAAACGTGCATTCATATTTTTATAGTTTGTGAATGATATATGTTGACATGGTTGTACAAATGCTAGCAAAGTTTGAACATCCTCACACGAAACTCCATCTTTACAAGCCATAAGGCAGCTAGACAAGCCATTTCCCCTCATCCTTCCCCTCTTTTTTTTAATTCTTTGCAGATTATGCCTAATTAAGCTGGGAATTTGAATTTTTCAATGAAGATGTATGTATTTGCATAGGTATCATCTCAGACTTCAGCTGAAAGTTAAGTTGTCCTCTTGAACAGCCTTCTCAACCTGATCCTTTCACCTTTCCTCAGTTCAGTCTTCTGAGGAAAGGGTAACATACAGATAACAACATACAGAGAGCTAAATTCAAAGTTAAAACATGAAGTATTTGACAGCGTTATTTAATCTACTTTAATATTAAGGTAATATCAGTTCAATTTCATGATGACAGGAGCAAGAGCCAGAATCTTTTAGCGGCGTTGGGGAACCCAGCAGCATAAACACGCTCAGTTGGATATAAACAGCAAAGATGAACATCCAGAATTAATTAGAGAAAAGGCCAAAAGAGAGATGTAGTGTCATTTGTTAGATCAACTAATGAAGAGTGTGGAAAATAAACGGACAAGCTTTTCAGCCCAATGTTTTTTTCCAGATCCATTACCTCCCTGACAACGTTAGGTTCTCGTGGCTACAAAGACGGGACTACAGCAGCAACTAACTGATAAGGACTGACCCATTCTAAAAATTCCTCAAGAAGAACTGTGCTCTAAACCAAGTTCATGCAAATTCTGTACTGTAATTTCAAGAAACTAGGTTCTGTCCAACCTTTATGGCTGTCCTGAAGCACAGAATGCAGCTCCTTTCTCAAAGGACACAAACGTTTTTAGCTCGTTCAGGAACCAGTCCCTTAGGCAAGTCTGCACAGGAACAGCTTTGCAAAGTGCATAACAATAGCAAAGGGGAGTCTTTGTTAAAGCACAGCAGAACCAGCAGCTCAAAACGTTGTTCAGCATGCATGAGGGGCTTGGTTGTTTGTAAGACTCTCTTTCTGAAATGGAACTAAACTATTTGCCTCTAATGCCCACAGTCAGAGCAAACCCATGGCAAACACTATACCATTTTATTTCCTTTTCCTGCTTAAAGCAATGGTTTGACGCTTTACTGCGTTTCCAGGAAAAGGTTAAAAACAGTCTTAATTAAAAGCCAAATTCTACCTGGCTTTAGTTTTGGATTAGCAACTCAAAGAGCTTTCAACAGTTACATTTTGAGCAAAATTATTTTTCTGAATAAATCCATTCTGAGATTAGCAAGCGATCCTCCAGTCTGCTTCCTCCTATGCTAGCAGTACTTATCACGGCAGTTTTCAAAAGTAACATAGCAGCCAGTGTAAAGCTCAGAAAAATCAAGTTTCACCGAGCTGTTTTTCAAAGATTACTGAAACTACGTCACAAGAAATGTCTCCCAAAATACGAAGGCTTGAAAATGACATCTCTGTAAAAAGCAGTCTTCAGGGCAAGCAATTGAGTTCTCTTGAACAGAGAAAGCTAGGTAATTCCAGTCGCTACGTACTTCTGTAAAACAAAAAACAAAGAGTACCATTTGTGTGTAAAGTAAGACCTGCCAAAACGCTAATCAATACAGTACCTCTTTCATGTATTGATTATACAAGGCTTCTGCAGATTCCAAGTATGTTTGAGCAGTTTTGATTTCATCCCTTTCAGACCACAGGATACCCAGACTGTTCTAAACAAAAAAAGAAAAAAAGTTTTTCCTGTTACGCTCAATTTACATTTAGACGTTTTCTCCAAACAATTTATCAGTCTTCATCCTGATATACATCATTCTAATACAATGGAGTTAGAAAGGCAAAATTCGACTCATGCATTTTATCTCATGTTGCTTTAAGAGAAGGGTTCTCAAACACAGGCAAATTCATAAAAAAAAGTCACCTCACTTAAACAGTGGTCTTTTGTGTTTACCCTGCTAAATTAGGACCTGTGTGTTCAAATAAGGAGCTTTTTCCACACAGTTCTGCATCTGATTCATGCAACTTTTAACTCATAATCATAAGAGTCAAGGAAATAGAAAATTGTCAATGTGACTTTGTATGAACAAAAAAAATCAATAGGAAAAGATAAGCCAGGAAGAACACCTGTATTTCTTCAACAAGGAGATGAAACTGTTAAATGCAAAAGCTAAGGACTAACGCCTTCAAATTTAAAATACAGAAATGCACACAGTAACACGTCATACATCTGTGAACCCACCTTTTACAAAAAGCCCCTCTAACTATTAATAAAATGAAGGTGTCAATAACAATCCAAGTCACATGTGCTAGTTCAGTTCCCAGACAGAGTTGTTAAAAAAAAAAAAAAAAACCAAAAAAAAAAACGCAACAGGACTACAGAAAGAAAAAAGCTTCAAAAAAGCCAGAGCATGTAGCTTGGCCAATGCCACCTCCCTTCCAATTCCATTTATTTTATGATTTTAAAAAGAAAGCACCATGTAGCATGTTTATAAACGGCAATACTTTGCCGATGGCTGAGCAGTGGAACTAACTAAACTCAATGAGACAGGAGCTGTCACATACATCATTGTGCAGCACAGAGACCAGGAGTAGGGCTGCAGAAGCAGACCCAGCAGGAAAAAAACAATGCTACTTCTTTCAAAATAGAAGTCAGCGCACTGACAACATACTCTACAGTACCTAGGATGTGCTGAGAGAGAAATCTGTCATCACACCAACCGCTGTTGATGATTACTGCTTGGAGTATTCAGAAGTTTTGTAATTAAGGACTCGACCTATTATAGGCCTTGAGATGGAACATTGAGAGCACGCTAATTTATCATCATTGTTCTCAGCCACATGTCTTGTGTTATGTCCCAGACGATAGTAGATTTTTCTGCTGTTGGACCACAGCACTTTTCATCCTGCCGCTTCTAGAAGGTGTCAAGTTTGGAAAATCCATGCAGATGGCAGCACTCATCCAATGGAGAAAAGCACCACTTTCCAGCATATCAGCTGAAAAGCACAGTGGAGTCCTTGCCCTTTCAAATACTGGGAAGATATTGTGTTATTTTGACTAGCTTCTTAACTAATCTTGAATCTTACATAAAATGGCTTTCTTCCAGTAACAGATTTGTAGCAGAGTACCTGGACTGCCACTCTGAAAGAGAGTGAGCAGATAAAACCTTACAAATTCCAGGCAGCTCATTCAATTTAAGCCGCATAAGACAAATGATTTTTCAACTAAAAGGAGTCTCTCCACACGAACACACAATTCCTTGACAGTTTTGTAACGGGTGACAAAGAAAGAATACTTAGCCTTTTCTTATTAGGTGGGCTAATTTTGACAGACATCTAAGTAACAGACTGACTTAAATAGAGCTGGAGATGTACATATAAAACACAGCTGCCATGAGGAAGGGATTGATTAAAGGCCCATCCCTTTTGGGAATCCTCATGTGTTAAGTAATAATCCTGTAACAGTGTTACTTTTTTCAGGATAGAAAGATGAATGTTATTTCTAACAACACAAAACTACCTTTAATCATCTGGAATAAACGTAACAGATCGTGAGCTAACAGGCAATGCTGAAAAAGCAAACAAGTCGGTCCTTTCAGAACAAACGCACCTTTTCAGGATATGGTATAAATAAAAGCAACCCCCTCCCCCAACACGCTGTGGCTGCAAATGACAGCTCAACAACCACAAATAAATTCCAGACGTGCTGAGATCTCCCCCCAGTCCAGCCTCAGGACCGCTGAGGTTCTGTCTCACCGTCCCCTGCAAATACCCCCCTCAACCCGCCCAGCCCAGGGGGCCCTCCTGTGCTCGCCCACCCCACCCCTGCCCTCCTGACCCCCCTACAGCTGCCTGCACACCATCTCCAGCCCCCCGGAC